TGGGTCAATGTTCGCACATAATGTCAACACAGCCCATAGCTAACTCTTGGGATACTCTAATCGAATAGTGGGATTGACCGTCACATTAGAATGCCTCCACAACTGATAGGGCGAGCATGTTCTGTGATGAGGTTCGAACCCGCGACTTGCAGATTGTGACTCGAACGCCCTCACCATTAGGCCATTTCAGGCCTATGTATATGCTATACGTTGTTGCGTACTGGATGTAGGTTGTTGTTTTGTGTGTGGTTGGTAAAACATGGCGAGAGTGAGTCGACTCCTAAAGAGTTCCCTTCTCACACTTTATTAGCCCACATACACATATATGAATATACACACACTTTATTAGCCCACATACACATATATGAATATATACACACTTTATTAGCCCACATACACATATATCAATATAAAAACATTTTTGTTTATCCACATACCCTAACACATTTGTAGACATGTCCGTTAACTTGCTTGATGGAATTGAGTGATCATATGATTAGGTGCCAAATGGCTGTTTGAACGCAATGAACACACAGATAATATCATACAACGTTTAATGTGTTTTGCAAAAGGTAGGTGAAAGGATACTTCAGACTTTAAAAGGGACATTATAGTAGGTTCTTGCGCATGTCTTCAGTCGTGCTTAAAGTAAAAAAGAAAATAATGACAGAAAACATGTTAAGAGTATTGTGATTAACGATGCATCATTAGTAACGATAGAGTAACAACACGAAAATAAAATGCATGAGGATCTTGAGTCTGCTTGTATTGCTCTGACAGTGTCACTCATCAGAGGTTATAACATATCTTTTGTTAGGTTCGATCAGATCCTTCTATTCCTTTAGGAGCTGAAAGGTATCCAAATGAACGTCAAACCATGGCGATTACTTCGATGTATCCGACAATGATGCATTTCTACTTCCACGAACAGTTTTCTATCTAGTATACTTCATGTTGTTTCAAAGAGCATGACCATGACTTCAGTCATCTTTCTAATCCCATACAATAACCAAATCTTACTCGAAATGATTGTAAACGTTACATTTACCATTGCAAATTTCTGCTGACATTCGAGAACCAATGCAGGTAATAATTCTCAGCGAATTGCGTATACATAATGTTATACCTTCTGGCTTTTTAAGTTGATCAAATCCGATGTTAGGTGGGATAGCTTAATAAGGTCCTATTAACATATAACATTAAGATTCAAGTAAAATAGATGGGAATATGTACCACTGTAATACTGTTTCGCAATGCAATACAGATTTCCAGGTTAATGTGAATGACTTCTCTTGTACTCTGCCGGATCGTTTGGAGCTTTTGCTACCTACTAAAATAATCTCATTCCTGAATGTCTTATTGAATGTCCAAATTCTAAACAAAAACATTCTGAACGTTACGTAATCCATGTTTCGGTCAGATTGATTGTACATCATATTTTTTTTTGTCGTAACTGCCCACTTTTAGTTTCTTTTTTCGTTCTAAACCTGTATAGATATAAAATATTCTGACTTAAAGCTGTAGAGATCACAAAAGTTACAGACAGACCCATAGACAGAGAAGCAGAAAGATTGACAAACGTCTCATCTTACATTAGGTTTCCTTTCAGGACATTTTACGTTACTGCACTGATTTGTTTGTGTATTCATGAACTACGCTTCATGAATAGAAACATGTAATCTCGAAGTAAACGGTTCGGCTACATGCCTGTTTCCTAAGTCTGAGGAAACTTTAGTGTGATACTCCACAGCAAACCCCTTTTTAACGAAACTCTCATTACCGATTCATGAATGCAGTCAATTTAAACTATCACTGTCAGCTGAGTAACTTATGTGTCTGTTTGAATATCATAAGAAAGAAGAAAAGTAGAGCAAGCTTTTCAGACTTTATATTCTTCCCTCGCAGTTATAATATGCACACTCACAACTAATAGTTTAGTCATGATTTTGTGGTTATCTTTGTTTATTGTATTTTTAGAAGCATAAAAAAATCTTTTTGTCGATTCAGTGTGACATTACTGAGATACGTTTGGTCTAAATAAACGTACGAATATCTGCGCGTATTTGTAAGAAGCCCATTTTAACGAAATCTTAAACTAATTATTTACAAGATCTCAACATGCTGAAATGGATGAAAAACGAGTGTGAAAATGATAAGTTACATTTTGTAATAGAGTTGAAAGTTACCCTTGTAAAAAACGGCTTAGAAGTAGTCTTTAACGTTAAAAAATATTCGCAATATACAAACATGAGCGAAACGGCCACGTCAGACTCATAAGGCCTTGCTATCCCTTATTTGGAACTGCTGTTCAGTGGAAGGGCAACCACTCTGTAGACAATATACTTCGCTGTTGACAATATTCTCCGCTCTAATCCCAATAATATTCCACGAGATTCAACTAGTTTAGGAGATAGATTTAGCCTCACGTGCATATACCAAACTAACAAAGTAAACAAACTTTTAAAAATGTGCTATTAATTCTAACATTATTTAAAAGCATTTTAAGCGTTATAGCTAATAAAATCAAACTAACTTTATATGGAAACGGAGTACGTCGTTCTTTACTTCTAAGATACACACACAGCTTACCAATACATGAAACCTTAATATACTTGTAAATGTTCATTTATAAGGTAAAAAAGTATAAACAAAATGAAAAATAAACAAGTCATTTATACGAATAATTATGCTAATGATCTGTAACTAATTCTCTATTTTATAGTTCACACTTTTACACATGTTGTTACTCCACCATCCACCGTTCATTTCTGGCTACTTTTATCTGTTATACATATATATAAAGACGGCATGTGTGTTTGTTTGCATCCTTACACTTCCGAGCCTATTACGCCAATCTCAACCAAAATTTGTATGTAAACACTACGAACTATGGGGAATGTCCTAAGAGAGTCAAAATTGAACTTAACCCTTTTTCTATTTTGTAAAGCCTGTTGGTTAATTACTCCCAGTCTATTGAATCAGTCTCAAACAATCTTGACGATTTAGACAATGTTGAGTATTCTAAAGGGATTCAAGTTCATAGTATGAAAGTTGTTGGATTATTTCTCAAACAACCATGCTTTTCTCATGGTCAATGAGATGTAGGGTGTTCAAGGGTGGGATCATCTCAAAATCTTTATTTATTGGTAGATGGAAAGCAAACTGCAAATGTTGTTTATGAAGAAGTTTTGTTATAATTTTAAACTTTTGAGATAAAGTTTATTTTCAAGTTATTACATTAGAATATATGATTGCTGTTAAACCTACATTGTTCTAATTAAGTTTAAACATTGCCTTTCAGTTGACGGGTATTTCAGCTTTATGTTATAATCCTTAAGATTAGTTTCATGGTCGTAGTATCGAACATTATTCTCTTTCCGTTTATTTTTGATACTTTTCTTTTTTGGTTTCGCATGAGAAAAAAACAACAACAACAACACCAATCAACCAAACGTATTATGTCTATATATGATTCGATAATAAAAACAAAATTCTATTGTGGGTTCTATGTATAAAGGATACTATGAATATACCACGTGATACTGTTGTCAACCTGTTTGTTCATTGGCTATCAAGCTACACAATGAGTTTTTTGTGTTGTACCTACCGCGAGTATCGAAACCTGGGTTTTAGTGTTATAAGTCCCTCAGATTTATTGCTGAGTCATCGAGTGGCTGTTGTCAGTCTATACTAACGTAGACTAAATAACTAAAAAAATTCTTCAAAGTTTCTAATATCCATCGCAGTTATCATGTGGTGAGAAAAAAGTGATAACTGTGTAAGAGGATTCTCTACATGGATCTGCTTTCTTGAGTAAAAGTCGTTCATGATAAAGGTGCAAGTACGATTTGTGCCACTTCAATCAGGCTCAAAGCTTATGATTGTTGAACACTGACGAATTTCTTTTGTTTTTTTTTTACTTTACTTTTTTACAGACGTGCAAACTTGTAAACTTGTTAGGGGAATCCTAATAAAAGACGTTTTTCCTTTGTACGTTTCAGAGGAAGAAACATTTTAGAACAATTTATTTAGACAGTAAGGGTTCCGTTTGTTAGATTTCTGACACAAGCTTAGCTTTTTTAACAATTTGTTGAATTTTCAGATTTGATGTATGGAAATAGGAGCTCTTATAAAACTTCTACAAATATCTTACAGCTATCCCCCCCCCCCCCGTGGCAAAACACAAAAATCCAGGCTTCGATTTTCTTTCTGCGGTAGTAGACAGAATGCAGGTAGATACTTATACTGTGAAAACCAAATTCGTAAAAAAAAATAGTTTTGTGTATAAGTTATTCAAATGTATACTTTTCTTAAGTAATGTTTTTATTCTGTAAAGAAACTGTTGTTTATTTGCCAATATCCAGACATAAAGATAGTTGTATG